ATCTCCTGACCTCGTGATCCGCCCGTCTCAGCCTCCCAAAGTGCTGGGATTACAGGCTTGAGCCACCGCGCCCGGCCCAGATGACTTCTCTTAAGAAAATAGTAACAGTTGTAAGAGACCATCAGAGGCATGGATTTAGACATTACTGAATCTGAAATCCCCATTCTTTTTTCATACTTGGCTATGTTGCCTTGAACAAACTACTTATCTTTCAAGATCTTGGTTTCTCTATCTGTGAAATGGGGATAATAATATATCATAGAATCATGAGAACTAATGAGGTAATGAGTTTAGATTGCCTAGTACAATTTCTTATACAGAGTAAATCACAGACCATCTGTGTTATATCTTGCCACTTAGTGATCTTCCTAGAGTTTACCTGCTAATTATGGAGTACAGTGGACAGTTTGGCATCAGGCAGATTTGTATTTGAGTTCCAGCTCCTGTTACTTACAAGCCTTGTCACCTAAAACAAATTGCCCTGCTGAGCATCAAGTTCTTGCTGCTCAAATGAGAATAATAATGCTTACCATATAGGTATACACATATGTATCTATATATATACACACACAATATATATGCCTTATAGGGCTCAGAGTAATAATATGCTAAAGTACAAATGGGGCTGCAATGGATTCCATAAATCCTTTATGGTACAGACTTTGGTAATTATCCACAAAAATGCATTTTACAAATAGTTCAAACTCTTAAAACATCTTCAAAGCAAATCTTAGTCTTATAGTCCTGAAGCACCATTTTGTTTCCTTTGCTTCCTTGAAACACCATTCTTAACTGGAATTAGTTGCTGAAAGGAAACCAAATTGTTTGTAGGCTGATTACACCTCCATTTTCTAAAAGGCGTAAAGAAAAAGATTAGGGCAGGCACAGTGGCTCGTGCCTGAAATCCCAGCACTTTGAGAAGCCGAGGCAGGTGGATCACTTGATGCCAAGAGTTCAAAACCAGCCTGGCCAAGATGTCAAAACACTGTCTGTACTGAAAATACAAAAATTAGCCACGCATGGGGGTGCACACCTGTAATCCCAGCTACTTGGGTGGCTGAAGCACGAGAATCACTTGAACCCAGCAGGTGAAGGTTGCAGTGAGCCGAGATCACAGCACTGCACTCCAGCCTGGGGGACAAAGCAAGACACTGTCTCAAAAAAAAGGAAGAAAGATCAGGAGGAAATATACCAAATATAACAAATATACCAAAATGTTGTGTTTGTTTTAAACAGTGGTTTTATTAGCAAATCTTTTCAGTTTTCCACATCCTCTGCGTTGTGATAATTTTTATGCCACATACTTTCAAAATGGAGGAAAATTAATTTTAAAATATTTATTGCAAAAATCAGTCCACAAGTCAAGTGCAGTGGTGTGCACCTGTAGTCCCAGCTACTCAGGAGGCTGAGGCAGGAGGATCGCTTGAGCCCAGGAATCTGGGACTATAGTGCACTATGATCGTACCTGTTGATAGCTGTGGGACTCAAGCCTGGGCAACATAGCAAGATCCCATCTCTAAAAAAAAAAAAAAGGTCCATAAGATATTACTGTGAACTTAGATAATAAGCTCTGTCCTGATCACCTGTCTTCCAGCTATAAACCTGATCTGATCTGGTCTGATGGGGAGTGGGAATGTCCTGATACTTACTGGAACTCCACAAATTTTCTTTCCTGGCTCTACAATGATAGCCCCGTCAAGGTATGTGATTATATGACTTCTTTCTTATTTATCTCCTATGAAGAAAGAAAGTACAAGGAGCCAGACTCTGGAGTAGACAACAGCAGCAGGAGCAATAATAAACAGGAATATCAACATGGGGGCAGTAGGGACTGGGGCACTTAATGGATGTTAAAGTTTCTCCTTTAATCTTCCCTGGCTCCCTTAGAGTATAAGCTTTCTTCTCCTTTAGTTCTTTTTTTTTTTTTTTTTTAATTGAGACAGAGTCTTACTCTGTCGCACAGGTTGGAGTGCAGTGGCGTGTGGTCTCCGCTCACTGTAACCTCTGCCTCCCAGGTTCAAGTGATTCTTCTTGCCCTCTGAGTAGCTGAGATTACAAGCGCCCGCCACCCTGTCCAGCTGATTTTTGTGTTTTTAGTAGAGAGAGGGTTTCACCATGTTGGCCAGGCTGTTCTCAAGCCCCTGACCTCTGGTGATCCACTCACCTTGGCCTCCCAAAGTGCTGGGATTACAGGCATGAGCCACCATGCCCAGCATTCTCCTTTAGTTCTTAACTTTGACATTATAGGTTTAAACAATGGTAAATTTACATAGTAGACTAAAAATAGTAATTACAATTCCCAGACCACTACAGAGAAAATAAACTCTATTAAGCAAATGTTATAAATGAGAAAATCACCAAAAATACATTAAAATGTATAATAAAATATAAAGAAAACATATAACATAAAAGACATAAAGGCCAAGTGCAGCAGCTCATGCCTGTAATCCCAGCACTTTGGGAGGCCAAAGCAAGCAGATGACTTGAGCCCAGGAGTTCGAGACCAGCCTGGGCAACATAGTGAGACCTTGTCTCTATAAAAAAACAAAATTAACTGGATGTGGTGGCACAGATGAGCAGTCCCAGCTACTCGGGAGACTGATGTGGGAGGATCACTTGAGCCCAAGAGGTCAAAGCTATAATGAACCTAGATCGTGCTATTGTACTCCAGCCTGGGTAACTGAGCAAAACCCTGTCTCCAAAAAAATAAAGAAAACATATATGCAAAACATACAAAATTAAATGGAGGAATAAAATGCAAATGTCTGCAATCCCAACTACTCTATGTTGATTTTATAGTTTAACTCTCAGGGGGCACACTCACTTCCCTTATATGCAAATCCTTGGGGGAATGTTGCCTGCCCAGTACCCCTCCCTATAATCAACACTATTAGGCAATGCATAATGGCTGCCCCTTTACAGTTTGTATTTTAGTGTACTTGCAAAGTAGCGGAAACCCCAATCTTCACTATAGCAAATTTCAAAATTATACATGTTCTAGATTTGTTGTGGATTTAAAAGTGTAAATCCAGTTTGTATTGAGGTACCTTGGTAGTTCATAAATGTCTAAGGGTCTTATTGGGTCTCTATTACTAAGCTCAGAAAATGGGAAGAAAGAAAAAAACAGATTCTATATGATGCACAGAGACAGATTAAGAGTGGTTTTCTGAGGCCGGGAGTGGTGGCTCACCCCCGTAATCCCAGCACTTTGGGAGGCCGAGGCTGGTGGATCACGAGGTCAGGAGTTCAAGACCAGCCTGGCCAAGTTGGTGAAACCCCATCTCTACTGAAAACACAAAAATTAGTCAGGCGTGGTGGTGGGTGCCTGTAATCCCAGCTACTCAGGAGGCTGAGGCAGAGAATTGCTTGAACCCAGGAGGTGGAGGGTACAGTGAGCAGAGATTGTGCCACTGCACTCCAGCCTGGGTGACAGAGCAAATCTCCGTCTCAAAAAAAAAAAAATGGTGTTCTGGAACTTGATGAATGTTTATGACCTCCCAGATGTGTAGTGCATCCCTGGGTAATGAACTCTGATGTGATGTCATATCGTAATTGTCTGCATATCTGTCTCTGCTAGTCCCTGCTGGATTGTTGAGGGCAAGAACTCTGTTTTATTCACCTTGGAAACCCAGTGTCTGCCACAGTGTGAGCCTCATGGTAGTTGCCGAATAAATAGGATAAGTAGGTGGGTGTTGAACCAATAATTCAGATTGTTAATATCCCATTTGTCTCTGAAATGGCGTCTATGTATATATTCAGGGTGTATACCCCTGGAGCCAGGTCGCTTGCTATGTGAAGTTACAGTCTAGTGTTTGTGCTTAAGGAATATCACAGAAGGAAAAACAATTAGCCAAAGATGCAGGATTGGAAAAGGGAAGAAAATATCAACCCCAGTGCCATTTAAAAAGCATGACTAGCTAGACAGCCTGAGCCTTTTTGGCCTCTTTTTTTTTTTCTTGAGATGGAGTCTCACATTGTTGCTCAGGCTAGAGTGAGTACAATGGCATGATCTCGGCTCACTGCAAACTCCGCCTCCTGGGTTCACACGATTCTCCTGGCTCAGCCTTCTGAATAGCTGGGATTACAGGCGCACACCACCACACCTGGCTAATTTTTTGTATCTTTAGTAGAGATGGGGTTTCACTATGTTGGCCAGACTGGTCTTGAACTCTTGACCTTGTAATCCACCCGCCTCGGCCTCCCAAAGTGCTGGGATTATAGGCATGAGCCAGCGCTCCCCACCGGCCTCTCTTAAACGATAATTCCTCAGCAACCAGGATCTTCTGTGTGACTGTGTCTCAACCCATCTTCACACTAGCTTTGCAGACATATGGGGACTGTAGATTCTCCTTCATTTCTACCAGGATTTATTGAGAACTGGTGCTGTAGCATGCCGCATGCTAAGCCCTGGAAATGCTGAATGAATGGTTTCTGCCTTTAGAGAACTAGTCTGAAGAGAAAGACAGACATACAAATGAAGTACATTATAGGGTGACCAGTATGATAGTAGAAATATGTCCTGAGGTCTCCACAATCCATAGACAACTGGCTCGAATGCCAAAGTGGAGGGTACTGCATTAGCTTCTGTGGGATGAAGGAGTGCATGGCTGTGTCTGTCCTTGACGGGCTGAGTGTACAGGGAGCATTCATATCACCTGAGGACTCTGAGAAAGGGGAGGTGTGGTGAGGAGCGACCTTTACTCACTCTGTGCCAGAGTCTGGGTACACTGTCACTTTTATCTCTCCCTCTCAAACCCCTGTGAGGTGGGTGATATTTGCTTTTGGATTTTGTTTGGTTGGTTGGTTTTGTTTGTTTTTATAGATAAGGTAACTAGACTTAAAAGGTAAAGTTACCTGCCTAAGACCCCTTGACTACTAGGTCGTGGAGCCAGCTATGAACCTCAAAGCCCTCGATAATCTTGTAACCAGGTAATAAACTCTGATATTATGTCATATTGTAATTGTCCACATATTTCTCCTCTGCTAGTGTCTGCTGGATGGTTGAGGGCAAGACCTCTGTTTTATTCACCCTGGAGACCCAATAATCTGCCCAGTGTGAGCCTCATGGTAGTGTTGAGTAAATACCTATTGAATAAGTAGATGGGTAGGTGTTGAATGAAGAATTATGATTGTTAATACCCCATTTTTCTCTGAAATGGCTTTTACATACCTGTTCTTGAATTGATCTTGTGTTGTCCTTTTCAATTCTGTGACCCCATGATGCCCAGACATTGGATTGAACTAGTTACAAATAATGACTATTCTTCTATTTCTCTTTGGCACTTAACTAGCTTCCTTAGGAGAAACTTCCATACCAATGCAAATGACTCTAAAACAGGCAAGAAATGGGAATTTAAAACTTTTATTTAATCTCCTTTTGCCATGATGAGTTGAACATGGTTTCAGGTTTCATTTGTTTTTGTTTTTGTTTTTGAGACAGAG